GAAATATCTCTTTAGAAACTCATACTTATCATCTGAAAAAGCAAACAAGTTTCCTAAGTCAGGCAGCACACAAAGATGAACACAGACAGAGTGCAGGGTACTTTGCTAACAATTCTGCTGCACGAAACTTCATTTCTGATGGTAACCTTGAGCAGGTATCTGTTACAGAAATGGAAGGAACTGGAAAAGGTGCCGCTATATTATATCTGTATGTGACAGCTGCTGGGGTGGCCAGAGACTGGGTTTGACATTGGTGCATTTAGAATTTGAAACCACAATCTTAGAGATAAAGAAATCTCAGAAATTCCCTAGTCCTTGCCATTGTCATTTTTAAAAGGATGAAAAGAAATAACCTTCCTCCAAGTCCAAAACCAGTCCAAGACAAAACCAGCTGATGACATACCTATGACCTCAACACAAGTCACCCTTTTGCCTGTTCAATTAGATTTCTAAGCATAATGCTTTTGTAGGGACCGTGGAGTTCAGCTCATAGACCCTTGTAAAGGGAAAAACCCTATTGTCACCCCCTTCTCTCTGTGTGTCTCTGTACCACTCTGCCTGGCCCTAGCAAATCTACAGAGAATCCCTGTGAATTACTAAATGATTCTGCCTCCCAGACCAGTGTTTCTGGGGCTATAATATGCAGAAGGAAAAGATACTTCTCAAGTATGAGTGCCCGTTACAGACTCCTTGATACCAAGCACTTGTGACTCATGTAGTGGCCTTGACTGGGATGTGATCCTTCCCTTCACAGTCTTCAGGCCTCCCAAGGCCAGTTTCTGGTTGGGCTTTTGGATCTTGGCAGGAAGCACTGAGATGTAGCAAGATGGGCCACTGCCTGTAAGATGCCAGGGACAGCAAGGCTCCAGCCCTGCGCAGTTCACCTCAGCCCAGCATAAACTCACATGCGATGTCCTAAAGTTGGGTAGAAAGAGGAAGCAAGTCTGAGAGCGAGACACCATGTTAAGGTGGATTAGCTGGCGCCAGTCCAGGGCCAACAAGCATCAAGTAAGTACATCTCCCACCCTTCCGGATTCTGCCAGGGAGAAGGTGGCAGGAGAAGGAGCGGCCTGGGAAGGGTGAGCAGAGCGGGCAGCGAGGCTGGTGGGCCACGGGCATGGTGAAGTGGCAGCTCTCGGGTTTGGCTGCGCAGAGCTCTTGGCAGGCCGCCCGCCTTTTTAATTCCTCCCTTGTCTGTTAAAAAGGAAAAGTACTCTGAGCGCAGAGCAGAGCAGAATCTACCTTAGCGAAGCTGGGCAAACAGGGGGCATGCTGTTCATGAAACAAACAGAGCTCCTTGGTCGATGGAATCACTCTCCGGTGGTCAGGAGGAGGAACTCTTGTGGAACCCTCAGGTAGAAACTGTGCCCAGGAATCCACACCGGGAGCAGAGCAGTGTGAGAGCAGAGATGAGCCGGGGAGGGGCTTGGGCAGGGTGGCCGCTTCTGCCTTCACTGGAGCTGCCTTTGCTCATCTGTGCTATGCTGTAAACCTTGACATGTTTCCTGTGCCCATAAAGTGGGGAGAGTCTGCTGGCCAGAGAGTGGACTACATGTCTGGATTTCTTGGTCTTGAGCTTAGATGAAGGTGCCTGCATGGGTTTTGCCTTCCCTTCCTCACCACCCCACCCTCGGCCCTGGCCAGTGTAACTTCTGGTGGGGATGGATGGCATGACCCTGGAATGAATGAATGAAGTGATCCTATTACCAGAGGTAGTCTTCCTGAGACACAAAGGGGACTTTTCTCCAGGGTGCCTTTAGATAAACCTGCAGTGAGGCGCCACTCGGGGTCTTCCCCATGGCCGTGAGTGGCCCATGCACACTGGAGGGGGAGCCCCCACCACCGTCAGCGCTGCCCGTGTTAGGATAACCCCGCTGGACACAGGTGCAGGGCTGCCTAGGCGCTGCTACTTCCGTCCACTCTTTCCCCTTTGTTCCCAGGTAGTTTGTGTGAGGGCTCCCCTTATGTGCCTAGGCTGACAGTCACTGTTCCACACTCCCAGGCAGGGCTGAAGGTCAAGGCTTCCAAATTCAGAATGGTCACAGTCTCCTTTTCTGCTGTTTAATGCTGTAGTTGGTTCTGTTGGAAACGGCCAACTGCCATTTGCATTGCTAGGAATGGCGGGGGCTGTTTCTCCCAGCTGCTGGCCACGGAAGGCATCTTGACGGTTGCATACACACGGCCCCAAGGCCAGGACGCACTGCCACTGTGGACTGAAACTGCGCTGGAGGAAGAGGCAGGCTCTTTCACTGTGTCTCTTTCTTGCCTCCTGCTTCCCACTGTTCTTGCAGCTGAAGAAATGCTTTTTTGTTGTTGTTGTTTAAACTTTTTCATAAAGCTTTGCATTTCTCACTTACACATGGGTAGCAGACTTAGTGAGCTATGGAAGGTACTAAAAATTCATTACTTCACCCCTTCCTCAAGATTTTGATGTGTGTTCTCTTTTTAATCTCATTTATTAATTCATTGTCCGTTCTTGAGTGCTCGCCACAGGATGGGCCCTTTTCTCGACCTGGAGGACCTGGGAAATCTTCCTGGAGGCTCATGCATACCTTCCCCTCTTGTGCTGATACCCACTTTGGAGGCACTTGAAACTCGTCAGAACTTGCTTCTGATTTTTACCTCGATTTTTCTCTAACTGACACCACTGAAGCTGATTATTTTTCTAAGTTTTTCAAAAGATCATTTGGGAATTATTGTGGCTAGTTTCCCACTTTTCCCCTCCCGCTGTTATCTTTGAGTGGTAGCCGCAGCCTGGAGACTCCTCCTTAGGGAAGGCCCTGTTCTTGGCAGGTGAACGGTCTGGAAAAGGAGAAAAGATCAGGAAGTCTTCTCATCACCCAAATATATGTGTGCTTCTTCTCTGTTGTAAAACAAAAATATCAGAGAAACAACATTCCTTGAGGAAAAATTACGCATAAAAGTCCAAGGATTAGGGAGTGGAGTGGAGCACTGCTTGTTAGGGGGCACTCATGGTGCGACCCTAGTCCTGAGCAACCCAGTGTGTTCTCGGGACAGTCACATCTTAATGCCTTTTCCCACACTGATTTTAGGACCATTATTGTAGTGTGAAAAAAATCTTTTAAAATCCCCAAAGGGAAAAAATGTAGCATATGTTTTAAATCCTTTCATTTATATTTAAAGCAATAGTTTTAATAGGAAAATGTAGAGATCAACTCAGAGTTTGGTGGTATTATATAGAGGGTAAACCAGTAGGCACTGTGACTAATGCATGACCAAGAAGAAGTATAGTTCATGGAAAATATCAATATTGAGTTTCTACCAGAATAGAAAATATTGTCGAATGTAGGACATGAAATTCTTTTTTTAGTATTGAACAGAATTTATTGATTGTCCGTGGATGAGCAGATACCATGAGATTCAAATCTCTTAAATATGGTACAAATAAGATAGCTATATACAAGTTTTGTGATTTTATGGTATGAGACAGTTATAATTAGCATTTCCTGTATGCCAGTTGCTATGCTAGGTAGGCAGCAGAGAAACTACAAAACTGAATGTCAGATGGGATACATATTTACCACACAATATGCTACATTTTGTAACAGAAATATATCTGCTTTGAACAACAAACAGCCTGGGAACCAGAGGTTTTTGCACCAGGATGGAAATTTGAGCTTAACCCTGAATTTTATCTTTCTTTATATTTCTCCTCTATTGTATCAGTTTTCACCCCCAAAATAATTACTATAATCAGGACAGTATTTTTTTAATAAAAGGGGCAGTGCTGCTGCGTATTTCGTCAAAAGAAATATTTTCTTTTGATATAGAATTTTACTTTAAATTAGCTATTAGCTTTCATAGTTAGAAAATTCCTTTCGAGGGCCCGGATAGTATAGCCGGTAGACACTTGCTTTGCATGCAGCCACCCCAGATTTGATCGCCAGAATTCCATATGATACCCCGAAGCACCATCAGTAATAATTCCGGATTGCAGAACTAGGAGTAACCCCTGAGCATCTCTGGATATGGTTCCAAAACAAAAACAAAACCAGTCTCTGTAGGATCTTTACCAGAACCGCATACTTGTTTATAACTATCTAATTAAACCTGATTATGAAAATGAATATTTGACCCGGTGATACACAGACATGATTCAATATGTAGGTATTCTTCTAGAGACATTCCTTTAAAATACAAACATATACCTATTCTGTATACTTCTTAAACAAGCAGTAAATAATAAGTATTTTTTATAATAAGTATTATTTTGTACCTTTTTCCATGTGACAAATCTAGGGAATTATTTTAAGATGCTTCATTATTTTTGCTCACGTCTTGGCAAAAAAGTAATTCCATTATTTCAGTTGCATTATTTTTTATTGTTTCCCATCGATCGCTATATCAGATGCTCTTACTCTTTTACCACAACAGAGCTAACATTAATATTCTTGTAAGGTATGTAGTTTCTTATTCTTGTAAGGTGTGAGCCTATGAACAAGGTAACTTCCCAGGAGCAGAATTAGTGCCGCAAATGGAATACACTGTATTTGAACTTTGACAGATGCTGTCACGTCACCTCTGTGGGCATGATTCCAATCTGTACTCTCCATAGCAGTGTGAGAACCGCAGGGTCCCAGAGTCTTGTAATCTAGTGTATAAACACATGCTCGTTTTCCATTCTGATAAGAGTCTTTCAAAACAATCCTTAAGCATTATTGATCTTGTATGTTTTGTTTAATTGCTAATATCGCAACATTATTTTCTATTGGTTTTATTGAAGTGTATCATATATATTTAAAGTATTACCTAAATGAGACTGCTGGGCTTGTGTCTAATTAATTGTTATTTATTCTCTTATTTCTGTAGATAAAATATGTTCCTAATGATAAGATCTGATTTATATTGAACCTTTAAACTTTTTTAGAGTGTTAATGTATATATACTGATAAAAAAATACTAAGTAATTGAATGTGTAATTATAAAGTGAAGATACATGTGATAACCATGCAGTGAACATACATGTAATAACCATGCAGGTCACGAAAGCAGGACACTACCAGCTTTCCAGAAGTCCCCTGTGTGCCCCTCCCTGGTCACAACCCTGTCCTTCTCCCCTAAAGGTAACCGTTCTCTTGACTTCATAATAAGAACATCCTTTTCTTTATAATTTTACATGCTACGTATGTGTCCCTAAGGAACATAGTTTCAATGTGATGTTTAAAAAAAATTTATATGACTAGAACTATATGGTTTGGTTTCTGTGTGTCTGCTATCATTTAACTCATTTTTATTATTTTCACCCTTGCTAATATGTATAGTTCATTCGTTTTCATTGTTCTGTAGTATTCTATTGTATGACTATACCAGTGTATTTATCTGATTGTACATGGGATATTTGGGGTTATTCTGAATAGTGCTGCTATGAATATTCTTCATATATACCCTTGTTTGTATGCACTTGAGTTTCTCTAGGGTCTAAAATGAACTTTCTAGGTTATAGGCATATATACATATGTGTATGTATATACATGTTGTGTGATATATTAATTCAATTTTTCTATATGACATAAACTATTTTTTTCAAAAATTCTGATTCTAAATTTATGCACTTCCAGTATATGTTTGAAATTTTCACATTGGTGTACATCCCCACCCATATTTGATATTACCAGACTTCAACATTTTTTGTATCTGGTGGGTATGTAGTAATATCTATTTGTGGGTTTAATTTGCATTTCCTTACTTATGAGATTGAATATTCCTTCCGTATATTTGTGGGTGCCTTTGGAGTCTATTTTATAATGTTTCTATTCAAGTCTTTTTACCTGGTTATCTGAATTTATATTACGTATTTTAGGATTTCTTCATATATTCTGGATATTAGTCCTTCGTTGGCTATACGTGTTGTAAATATCTGCTTTTGCTCTGTGGCTGGTCGTTGACTTTCTCCATTGTGTCTTGGTAATCAGAGAGTGACATTCTGAAGGGAATAGATTTGTAAGTTACAGGCATGTAGGCTTGAAATATTACTTTATTTAGTAATTCAGAATACAACTTGCCATTTCTCCACAGAATTGAGTACCAACGTGGAAACTTTATATGTAATGTGGGTTTCTGTTATCCCTAGAGACAGCTTTGTTTTAAAGAATAAGGACTAGTTGGCTTTTTAAAATGCATTTGTCGCATTTTGTTCCATGTATGATATGACAGATAACACAAAATAATGAAATATGTTAGACAAAAATATGATACATGCCTAGGATTTAGAGCTCAGTTCTCTGACAGGAAAATCAATGGTCTAGCAAGGAAGTATTTATACATTTTTTAAAAATCCCTGTAGAATCTTAATAGTATATTTAATTCTTACAACCCTTGCCCTTCCCATAAGAAAATTAGAAGAGGGTATTATATATTAAAGTACTATATCCACAAAGACTTGGCTACTCATGGAAATAGAGGAAGTAGAAAAATTATATAAGCAAAAGGCAGTGGAAAACGGAAGCTGAAATCATTCAGTTTTCTTTAGTCAATGTAAGAAGGGTGATATATAACCAGGCATGTCGTAGTATCTATAAGGATGTCCTTATAGATATTTGTAATTGTCAGCAGGAAGTAGAATTATGTTCAATGTAGTGTGTCTGCTCAGAAGCCCCATGTGGAGAGAGAGAGAGAGAGAGAGAGAGAGAGAGAGAGAGAGAGGGAGGGAGGGAGAGAGAGAGGGAGAGAGAGAGAGAGAGAGAGAGAGAGAGAGAGAGAGAGACTCAGCAGATGAGCATATGCTTTGCACACAGGAAGCATGATTTGTTCCCTTCTCTGTTCTGGCCCCCGACCACTTCTGTGCATGGCTGTTGCTAGAAACAAAAAAAGAGAACCAAAACCAGAGATACTGAGCCCCTGTGTTACCGACTACAGTCGAAGCCACTGTCCTCGGACATGGCTTACAAGAAGCCTTCCTTCCAGCTATCTTCAAGCATTCATCCTTACTTCCCTCCATTATCTTCTTTACTCTACAGCCAAGGTGATCTCATTTTAAAATTCTAGGTCCCCACATTCTGTATACCACTCCTCAACCCCTCGATATCGTCCCTTAGCTCTTAGACTGAAAAGGCATAGAATCTTTGGAGAGACATGCTTTGCACACCCCAAACTGCATCACCAAATGCAATGAAGTACTGATTTATAGAAGATACCCAATAAATGTTTGTCAGGTGAATTAATGAAGAACAAACAAGAATTTGTGACCAAGCGTAGTTTCTTTTAAAAATGTAACTTCTCATTTGAGATGATCAGAGAAGCTTCAACATTAGACTTTATTAAACAGGTGGAATTTGTCCCAACAATACTGACATTGGAAGCAGGAAGTAGACTCATTTTGAATGGATCCAACAGAAAGAGGAAAGTAAGGGAGAAAGGATATCATAGGCTGAACTGTGGGCATGCCAAGTAAATGTACCTGGCTCAAGGGCAGGTACATTTGTGAGATGAATGTAGAGGCTAGACTGAAATGATCGATTGTGCCATCGTGAGTGCACAAAGGACACAGTTCAAAGGAAATAAGGACTTCATTATTGAATAAAACCCCAAAACACCAAAGGGCTTTTAGCATTATAGTTATACAATTACGTTTTTTTCACCTTGATTTATCAGTTGCCTTGTAGTGTCTCATTCTTGCTCTGGATTCAAAGCGTTTACTAGTCATAGCACTCTGAAGTTCATCATTTATTTATTTGGGGGCTGGAGGGCCACCCATGGTGGTACTCAGGGCTTACTCCTAGCTCTGAGCTCAGGGATCACTTCTAGCAGAGCTTGGGGTGCCAGGGATAGAACCCAGGTCGGCCATGTACAAGACAAGTGTCCTGACCACTGTACTGTTACTCTGACCTGCAAATCCATCCTTTATACTCTGCTCCAGTACATCCATTCAGCACCTCTTCTCTTTCTTTATGCTGCCAAGCACTCTTCGTTTCCTTCAGACATCTAATGTACACTTGGTTATGTGATAACATGCATACATACATATATATGATATATATATGTTATAACATTTACATATTGCTCACAGTAAGAGCCAGACTTAAACTTCTATTTATTTTCTTTCATCATTGCCAACCTTCAACAATAACTTCTGTAATTTCAGCTGTAGTTCCTGAGAAAATATCCCAAGATTGTATCTCTGAAGTGACTCTGCTCCTCATGGCAGTCTCTTAGTTGTTTATTCATTTCTTGCCATATTCTCTGAGCACCGGTTCCAGACACACTTTCAGGGAGCAGCTGCGGTCTTAAGCAGCTGCTCAGTGAAATGAGACATTTTACTTAGAAGCCAGAAAACCAACAGATAAACACAAGATCAAATGACATCATCATGAATGTGGTCACTGTTGGTGTCTCCAACCTGATGTCCAGCTTTCTGAGGAAAAGCACCAGGAAATTACTTCTTTTGAAACTACTGACCTGGTTTTATTTCCCTTTGTGGGGGAAGAACAAATTGATTTTTCCAGAGTTCCAGTTCTGTGTCTATGGATTCGTCTTGACATCCTCCCTGATAGTTCATTGCCAAGTCCTGAGAAAAATCCCTCCAAAACTCTGGTATGCCACCCTGGTCAGACTTGGCCACTTCGCTCTTCGCTTAAATTATTTCAGCTGCCTTTAGAAGTCCTTCGTGCTTTCTGTGATTTTCCTTTTACATTTTCTTTTCTCCTTATTCCAATCCATCTTCCTAAACCATTTCTTTCAACCTTGTACTTCTCTGTAAAAGCCTTCGGCAGCATACTTACTAAGGATAAATCACAGGCACAGCTCCAGAAATATTTATATAATTTGCCCTCTGACCATGATTCTTTAGAGACACTTATGTGTTACACTATAATTCATCTGTAGTAGCCTAAATCCTATGAAATTTCTATTTTATCCAAAGGAGGTGGATAATTAGCAATTTATATGTTGCTAATTGCACCTGCAAATAATTGATTGCCAGTATGTCTTTCTTCTGTGTCAGATTATCAGTCACTTGACAGTCATGTTTTTCCTTGGTTTTACTTTACTTGGTTTTACTGATACTTTCTCTTTTGCACAGCATCAGGACCATAGTAAGTAACAGCAGCCAAGTGCCCACTCATGTCATGCTTTACCCCGGCCACCATTGTCCCTGTGATGCCCACTGGCAACACCTATGCACAGCTATCCCACTTCATCTTACCCTGCTCTGTGGAGGCGTTCTCTAGCTCTGCAAACTCACTCACCACTCCAGCCTTCACACTACCCACGGTGTTGCTGACAGCCCCCAGAGAAACAGTCATTCCCTGATACCCAAGACTCGTGTTCTGGGTTTTGCATTGCATTCACCTCCTTTCCTCATGTGAAACTCTCTCTTCACAGTGGTTCTACAGGCCTCTGTCTTCCACTCTGGAATCCAGTGTCATGATTCCACAGTGGTTGGATGACTCACTGCACTTGACTTAACAGAACTAAACCTAAGCTTATCCACCACCACTGCCCAGATATGTTCTTTGGCTAAGACTGCCGTTCATAGTTTCGCCTCTAAGCCTCGTAAGCTCTTTATTCTCTGTCTCTGCCGGAAATATTATTCCCTTACAGCACAGCGGGTAGGACGTTCGCCTTACAAGCAGCCAACATGGCCGACCTGAGTTCGATTCCTCCACCCCTCTCGGAGAGCCCGGCAAGCTACCGAGAGGATTCGATATGCCAGACACAGTAACAACAAAGTCTCCAATGGAGACGTTACTGGGCCCGCTCGAGCAAATCGACGATCAACGGGAGGGCCTTTACCTTACCTTACCTTACCAACCCAGCAATTGCACATCTGCCAACCTGGCATTAGCTTTAGATTTTTATGTAACAACTATCTGGGCATTTAAGGAGTAGCATATCTCCCAAATAGGACCTGGAACTTTGTGATACTCAGCTGCCTTCCTTTGATCCTGCTCCACCTCTGGTTCTCTTACTGCCTGCGGAACTCAACTATCACATATATTTTGTGGAATATACCTATATTATCTTCACTAAGATATAATGATCTCCCAATTCATAATCACCATTGTTTACCAATCTATACTGTATCTCTGTGTCTCCAAAATGATTTCTCTGTTTAAAGAAACACATT